CTAGTACTACTACTACTAGTACTACTAGTACTACTACTACTAGTACTACTAGTACTACTACTAGTACTACTAGTACTACTACTAGTAGTACTACTAGTACTACTACTACTAGTACTACTACTAGTACTACTAGTACTACTACTACTAGTACTACTAGTACTACTACTACTAGTACTACTAGTACTACTACTACTAGTACTACTACTACTACTAGTACTACTAGTACTACTACTAGTACTACTAGTACTAGTACTACTAGTACTACTAGTACTACTAGTACTAGTACTACTAGTACTACTACTACTACTACTAGTACTTCTACTACTACTACTAGTACTACTACTACTACTAGTACTACTACTACTACTAGTACTACTACTACTACTAGTACTACTACTACTACTAGTACTACTAGTACTACTACTACTACTACTAGTTTCTACTACTACTACTAGTACTACTACTATACTACTAGTACTACTACTACTATCTACTACTACTACTACTATACTACTTACTACTACTACTACTAACTACTATACTACTACTACTATACTACTAGTACTAACTACTATAGATAAATAGTACTACTACTAGTACTACTACTACTAGTACTACTACTAGTACTAGTACTACTAGTACTACTACTACTAGTACTACTAGTACTACTACTAGTAGTACTACTAGTACTACTACTACTAGTACTACTACTACTACTACTAGTACTACTACTACTAGTACTACTAGTACTATTACTACTACTAGTACTACTACTACTAGTACTATTACTACTAGTACTACTACTACTTCTAGTACTACTAGTACTACTACTACTAGTACTACTAGTACTACTACTACTAGTACTACTACTACTAGCACTACTACTACTAGTAATACTACTAGTACTACTACTAGTACTACTACTACTTCTAGTACTACTACTAGTACTACTACTACTAGTACTACTAGTACTACTACTACTTTCACTACTAGCAAGGGCAGATAGGACCAGTGCTCTGCTAATATTCTTACTTCCTACACTTCATCATGATCCTTTATATACCGTCCTTGTCTTTATATAGTTTATATGGCTTGATAAATCTTCTGGAGAGCAACAAGTAGCTCTATTTAATTTCTCATTAGTTGCTCGTGTGTGTGTGTTTTTTTTTTACTTATCATATTGTCGGTAAGTTTATCAACATCTGAACAACAACGTCTTCTCATTATATGATAACAGGATTTTCCTCCTCAAGAGTTTTATCTGTCTTCGTCTAATGGCTCCACCTGGAGCTTTTACCTCACTGCTCAACCAGTTACCATTTTAGTTAAGACTGTCTATTCATTTTTTTTTCTAATAATGATTCTGGGTTTGCCAATTTTAATATCTCCACCTGTTTACCTACTCACAAAATGGTGTGTGTACTCACCTAATTGTGGTTGCAGGGGTTGAGACTCTGCTCCTGGCCCCGCCTCTTCACTGACCACTACTGGGTCCTCCCTCTTCCTGCTCCATGAGCTTTATCATACATCGACTTAAAACTATGTATAGTTCCTGCCTCCACTATATCGCTTGCCAGACTGTTCCACTCCCTAACAACTCTGTGGCTGAAGAAATATTTCCTAACATCCCTTTGACTCATCTGAGTCTTCAGCTTCCAATTGTGACCCCTTGTTTCTGTGTCCCAACTCTGGAACATCCTGTCTCTGTCCACCTTGTCTATTTCAAGCAGTATTTTGTATGTCCTGTCCTCCAGTGTCGTCAGACCGATTTCCCTTAACCTTTCTTCGTAGGACATTCCCCTTAGCTCTGGAACCATCCTTGTTGCAAACCTTTGCACTTTCTCTAATTTCTTGACGTATTTGACCAGGTGTGGTTTCTAAACTGGTGCTGCGTACTCCAGTATAGGCCTGACGTACACAGTGTATAAAGTCTTGAACGATTCCTTACTGAGGTACCGGAACGCTATTCTCAGGTTTGCCAGGCACCCATATGCCGCAGCAGTTATCTGGTTAATGTGTGCTTCTGGCGATGTACTCGGTATTATACTCACTCCTAGATCTTTCTCCTTGAGTGAGGTTTTCAGTCTTTGGCCACCTAGCCTATACTGTCTGCGGTCTTCTTTGCTCTTCTCCGATCTTCATGACTTTGCATTCGGCGGGGTTAAATTCTAGAAACCAGTTGCTGGACCACGCATCCAGCCTGTCCAGGTCTCTTTGTAGACCTGTCTGGTCCGCATCTGATTTAATTCTCCTCATTAACTTCACATCGTCTGCAAACAGGGACACTTCTGAGTCTATCCCTTCCGTCATGTTCACATATACCAAGAATAGCACTGGTCCCAGAACTGACCACTGTGGGACCCTGCTCGTCACAGGCGCCCACTGTGATACCTCATCACGGACCATAACTCGCTGTTGCCTCCCTGTTAGGTATTCTCTGATAGATTGCAGTACCCTTCCTGTTATATGTGCCTGATCCTCTAGCTTCTGTACTAATCTCTTGTGAGGAACTGTGTCGAAGGCCTTCTTGCAGTCCAAGAAAATGCAATCAACCCACCCCTCCTTCTCACTTCTTACTTCAGTTACCGTGTCATAAAAGTCTAGTAGGTTTGTGACACAGGATTTGCCTTCCATGAATCCGTGCTGGCTGTCGTTTATAATCTTGTTCCACTCCAGGTGCTCCACCACTCTCCTCCTGATAATCTTCTCCATGACTTTGCATACTATACACGTCAGTGACACTGATCTATAATTTAGTGCTTCATTTCTGTCTCCCTTCTTAAAGATGGGGACTACATTTGCCTTCTTCCATACTTCAGGTAGTTGCCCAGTTTCAAGGGAAGTGTTGAAGATTTTGGTTAGTGGCACACATAGTGTTTCTGCTCACTCTCTAAGGACCCATGGAGAGATATTGGCCGGTCCCACCGCCTTTGAGGTATCAAGGTCACTTAAGAGCTTCTCCACCTCCTCCTCAGTTGTGTGTAATTCATTCAACATTTATTGGTATATACTTTGTTGGTGTACTCTACTGTTTTGTCTTCCCAGTGTCCCTTCAGCCTCCACTGTAAATACTTCTGAAATCTCATGTTGAGCTCCTCACATACTTCTTGGTCATTTCTTGTGAGCTCCCCACCTTCTTTCCTCAGCCTGATTACCTGGTCCATGACTGTTGTCTTCCTCTGATGTGGCTGTAAAGCAGTTTCGGGTCAGACTTGACTTTCGATGCTTTGTCGTTTTCATACTGTCGCTGGGCCTCCCTCCTTATCTGTGCATACTCGTTTCTGGCTCGTCGACTAATCTCTATTTTCCTGAGTCCTTTGCCTTCTGTACTTTTTCCATTCTCTAGAGCGCTTAGTTTTTGCCTCCCTACACCTTCGGGTAAACCAAGGGCTCGTTCTGTTCTTCCCATTATTTCTGTTATCCTTGGGAACAAACCTTTCCTCTGCCTCCTTACATTATGTTGTTACGAAGTTCATCATTTCGTTTACTGACTTTCCTACCAACTCCCATTCCCACTGAACCTCCTGCAGGAAGGTCCTCATTCCTGTGTAGTCCCCCCTTTTATAGTTTGGCTTTTCCCTTTCTACTCCTGTTACCCTCTCCACTTTTAGCTCCACGATGTATTCAAAACTCAGAACCACGTGGTCACTAGCTCCAAGGGGCCTTTCATATGTGATGTGCTCAATGTCTGAGTTACTCAGGGTGAACACAGGGTCCAGTCTTGCTGGTTCATCCTCCCCTCTCTCTCTGGTAGTATCCCTAACATGTTGATGCATGAGGTTTGCCAGCACCACATCCATCATCTTGGCTCTCCATGTTTCGGGACCCCCGTGTGGCTCCAGGTTTTCCCAATCAATCTCCCTGTGGTTGAAGTCGCCCATAACCAGTAACTTCGCTCTACTCTAGTGAGTACTTCTTGCCACCTCAGCTAGATTTTCCACCATTGCTCTGTTGCACTCATATTCCTCTCTTGGTCTCCTGCAGTTCTGTGGTGGGTTATACATCACTGCAATCACTACCTTGTGTTCCACTGACTGAACTGTACCTACTATGTAGTCCATTTCTCCAATCTCGTCCATACCTTCCATTTCTTGATAACCCCACCGGTTTTTAATTAGCAGTGCAACCCCTCTTACCCCTCTGCTCCTTCTATCCTTCCTCAGGATCTGTACTCACCTATTTGTACTCACCTATTTGTGGTTGCAGGGGTCGATTCATAGCTCCTGGCCCCGCCTCTTCACTGATTGCTACTAGGTCCTCTCTCTCCCTGCTCCATGAGCTTTATCATACCTCGCCTTAAAACTATGTATGGTTCCCGCCTCCACTACTTCACTTTCTAGGCTATTCCACGGCTTGACTACTCTATGACTGAAGAAATACTTCCTAACATCCCTTTGATTCATCTGAGTCTTCAACTTCCAATTGTGACCTATTGTGTCTGTGTCCCATCTCTGGAACATCCCGTCTTTGTCCACGTCGTCTATTCCGCGCAGTATTTTATATGTCGTTATCATGTCTCCCCTGACCATCTGTGTGTGTGTGTGTGTGTGTGTGTGTGTGTGTGTGTGTGTGTGTGTGTGTGTGTGTATGTGTGTGTGTGTGTGTGTGTGTGTGTGTGTGTGTGTGTGTGTGTGTAGTGTGTGTGTGTGTGTGTGTGTGTGTGTGTGTGTGTGTGTGTGTGTGTGTGTGTGTGTGTGTGTGTGTGTGTATGTGTGTGTGTGTGTGTGTGTGTGTGTGTGTGTGTGTGTGTGTGTGTGTGTGTGCTTCAAACAACGCTCTCATCCAGATCATTCTACTTCCTGACCACTTTCAGACTAAATTTAGTTTCTGCCTTTGCCCCGTGTTCTCTGATTCATTCTTTCAGTCTGTCTCTGTTTGCTTATTGAGTTCTCGGAGTATCGTGTATGTCTTAAACATGGCCTCCCTGGGTCTCCTCTCCTGCAATGTTATAGGGTTTAGTTTCTTTAGTCTTTCTTCTTTGAATGGTAAAGTTGTTAAATCTAAAGAAAAATGTTTGAGCACATTGGAAAGTAGTGCAGCGCAGGCGTCCTGGAGTACCTGTGAGCGCAGGCATGCAGGGGACACCCGTAAGTGCGCTTAGCGTAGATAGGCAGGTGAGTGCGCTGATGCTTGGTCAGGTGGTCACGACGTACGAACCTCCGTCCACACTTCTGCAACACATTATGTTGTTTTTTGACAAACTTTAAAGTCTAAAACTGTCATTTTTTGAGTAATAACACGAGAGTCACCCAGAGTAACAATATCGTAATATCTCACCTGGCAGAGGAAAGGTCGGTGTCCGGAGTGTATCCTCATGTGCCGGGTAAGTTCCTCGTTTCTGCAGAAGGTACGTCCACATTGCTCGCACACGAACGGTCGTTCCCCTGATGAGATATCAATTGTTAACTAGACGGCACGTTTTAGTGTAGAGATTTCTCGACTACTCTTCGCTAGTTGTGCAGTGATGTAAAGTCTGATTCGAGCTCATGACCTTGAATTTACGAGGTCAGTGAGTTCGCGAATTAGTATAAGTGGTTTTAACTATGAAATAACATTTTCATTCTAGTTTGTGTTCAAACACAAACTCTCATCTAGTCACATGTGGACGTCGTCAGTGACTCTCATAATACTCACCATCAGGAGCAGCAGCAGCAACAGTAGCCCGAACATCTTCATGAAGCTCGTCATTGATGATAGTTCTAGACGAAACCTTTAACATCTGTGGCTTGGATGACGGCTCAACCATCCTTGTTCCATGAGGTGATGAAGTAAACTGTCGGAAATCACAAACTGTGTCGTAGGGTCGACGGTATGGGGCTTCCTGGAGATTACAGACTCTGCCACGGAGTCGATGGTATGGGGCTCCCAGGAAACTACCGTCTGTGTCGTAAGGGTTAGTATATGGGGCGACCCACTTGAATTCCGATGATCTATAAGGACTCTGGTAGGTTACTTCGCGGACTTTATATTGGTGTCTGAGGTTGAGGCTAATCCAGGTGACCCGTGTCGACCAGTCAATCAAGTTCCGTGTGGTGCAGCCACAATTAGACTCGAATTCACTGAAGGCTCCCGAACTCTCCTGAAAGTGGCCTTTATTGCAGCACAAAATATACTGATGGACACCAGGTATTACGAGGGGGTTATGTACCTGGAGCTTTATTTTTTTATTTGCAATATCAAGACAGTCATGAGAATCACTATCTATTTCTAAAATATCCTCAGAGCTACTATGCATGTTTATTTTCTTCTCTCCGAAATCGAATGTGTGCCTGTCGTTTTCGTAAAACCATCTCTGGGACTCTACTTCGTAGTAACTCTCATCCGCTGCATGTGGGCTCTCTGAAGAGTGATAGCCATGGTCGTCGTCTCCGATTCGTTCTCTGTACTCAGTATGAGTACATGGAGGTCGCTGCTGAAGTAGGGGCGACACGCCACTCACAATGATGCATCGCGACAGAGAACTAATCAGCCTTGGAGGCAGGCTGCAATCTTTACTGAAACGGAATGCCTCTGAAGCCTTGCTGAAATGAGAGGCATCAGTAGCAGTAGTACTAGTAGTAGTAGTACTAGTAGTAGTAGTACTAGTAGTAGTAGTACTAGTAGTAGTAGTAGTAGTACTAGTAGTAGTAGTACTAGTAGTAGTAGTACTAGTAGTAGTAGTACACTCTATGAGGAGAGTCATGGTGCATCAACATGTGTTTATATACAAATATATTCAGTACTCACTTTCCACATATTTAGTTTTCGTTTATTCTACAATTACTTTACAATGTCCGCCCACAGAACCTCGGCTAAGACTAGCAAAATCTGTCTGGATTAAAATAACATTTGTCTGTAGCTTTGCAGATCTGCTATTTACCAGCTGAACCTGTTAGACACCTAAAAATTAAACTCGGATGAATTGTCTTGCCGAACTGTAGAAGACGTGATGGTAGGAATGCCGAAGAGATCACGAGTCTTGAAGGTCAGGGAAGCACCACGGTAGCGTCTTACTTAAAACCGGGAAGGTAGATGAATTTGCACGATAGTTCAAGAGATAAAGGAGGAAGTATCTGACGAACGCGTCCAGCTTTCAATATAATATCCGTGAAAGTGACACTTAATCGAGACACGAAGTCAGTGATTATTGTTGTCCCCGGGGGTGATGGAGGCGGCGTTCTGAGATAACGTAGTGTTCATTGTTCACCAGGAATCTCGGTGTGGATAACGGGGCGACGTGCCGCCTGCTGCCCTTCTAGAGCAACGCCGCCTGAGTATCACCATTGTCATCCTCTTGTTGAGGTTAAGTTGAAAGTGGAATGAAATATCGAAGGAAGATGCGCAGAGTGAATGATTTTGTGTGTGAGGCTGATAAATGTGAGGGGTGAGAATGTAAGATTATCTATATTATTATTATTATTATTATAGTAAACGCTAAACCCACAAGAGTCACACAGCGTGCGTACCTATCGCATATTTGTATGTACATTGTTATTAAAGAATAAAAAAGATAAAAAAACTAATCCGTGTCAAACAGTTTATAGATACAGATGTAACAGATGCACCTAACTTATTTCGTACTGTTAAACTTTTCCCAGGAAGCGACCCAAAACAGTCGATTAATACGCAGATATATATACTTACTTCTGGGTAATCAGGGGAGAAATGTGAAAAAAAACTTGTCCATACATTTTGCTCCCCCAGAAATTGATTTTTCGGTTTTGCATCGAACTCTGTGACCATTCAACTGAGAGTTTCAAGAGTGTGTGTGTACTGACTATATGTACTCGCATATATGTGCTTGCAGGGGTCGATTCATAGCTCCTTGCCCAACCTCTTGGCTAGACGCTACTAGGTCCACTCTTATCGTACGTCTTCTTAAAGCTATGTATGGGTCCTGTCTCTACTACTCCACTCTCCAGATTGTTCCACTTCCTAACAACTCTAAAGCTGAAGAAATGCTTCCTAACATTCCTACGACTTATCTTAGTTTTCAACTTCCAATTGTGTCCCCTTCTCGTTGTCCCATCATTTTCTAAACATACTGGCCCTTCCCACCTGTTGTGCGTGTGTGTGTGTATATATATGTGTGTGTGTGTGTGTGTGTGTGTGTGTGTGTGTGTGTGTGTGTGTGTGTGTGTGTGTGTGTGTGTGTGTGTGTGTGTGTGTGTATATATGTGTGTGTATATATGTGTGTGTGTGTGTGTATATGTGTGTGTGTGTGTGTGTGTGTGTGTGTGTGTGTGTGTGTGGCCTCGTCCGGTGACTGGGAGATCATGGGATTGTGGAGGGACGGTGAGTGATTGGTGGGTGGAGGGTGGGTGGTGGGTGGGCTGTGGGTGAGTGGGCGTGATAACAGGTAGCATTACAGGTGTCCACGTGCTAGATAACACATTAAAACAAAGACAACTATAGAGTGGCCCCCACCACAGCCTCGCCTCCAGCACCCACCCCTTTACCCGTATCAACAACCCCATCCCCAGCCTCCACTACCCCATCCCTCATCTCAAACCCTCCCTAGCCCCACCACAGAGTCCCGGCCCCTCCCCCACTCCTCTATTATCTCCCAGCCCCTCCCCACTCCTCCAATCAAGTCACTTCAGTCATCCGCCCCTCACCACTTGAGTCTTTGTCCGTGCCTCACCTGATTGATTCCGTGTACACCACCACAGCATCTCTGTGTACATAGCCACATCAGTGTGCACATCTCAGCATCACCGTGTACACCACAAATAATGTACACTACCACAGCACTGTGTACACCACAGCATCACTGCGTACACATAGTTGCATGTGACTGGCTATTTAAATGTATGTTTTTTGCTGAGAGAGAGAGAGAGAGAGAGAGAGAGAGAGAGAGAGAGAGGTAGAGAGCGGACCTCTTTGCTGAACATTTTGCTACCAAAATGAAGTTCCTGAGCCAGCAAGGGACGCTCCTTGGCTAGCTGCAAGAACTGTGTCAAAACTGTCAGTGGTGACAATAAGGCAGGAGCAGATGCATCTTCTTCAATCGCTTGACCAAGAAAAGGTTGCGGGCCCAGACAGACAAGTTGAGCCCAAGATTGCTGAGATGTGCAGACCAGCTAGCAGCATCTTTAACTCGCATTTTCAGCACTGCCTAGTACAGTGTAAATGGTCTTTTCCGTGGAAAGAGGCAAATGTAGTCCCTGTTCACAAAAAGATCAGAGCAGAAATTAGCAACTACAGACCAGTGTCACTCCTGTCAATCACTGGCAAGATCCTTAAGACAATAATCTCAAGACAGTTTTTTGACTACAACTCACTACTTTGGGACCGTCAATATGGCTTCAGAAAAAGTTACTCTGCTGCTGATCTGCTGTTAAACCTCTCCACTAAATGGCACCAGTCACTGGATGAATCAAAAGTCAGCTGTGTGGTAGCACTGGACATTGCTGGTGCTTTCGACCGGGTGTGGCACCAGGGACTCTTAGCAAAACTTCAAGCACTGGGAACTGCAGGCTCTACACTATATTTTCTCAGTGATTACCTTCATGGTAGATCTCTAAGGGTAGTTATCAATGGGACAGAGTCAGCAAGACATTCTACTGGGGCAAGTGTTCCGCAGGGAAGTATGCTTGGACCAATGTTACGGAATGTCTACTTGAAGGACCTTCTTCATCTCATTCCAGAATCCCATGCATATGCAGACGACTGTACACTGACATTTACTTATCCAAGAAAAAAAATGCCAGCTGCTCTAAGCTACATCAATCACCAGGTAAGAGCTATATAAGCCTTGGGAAACCGATGGCAGGTAACATTTGCACCTGAGAAAACAAATGGAGGTACGGCCTAGTTTACTGTGCACACCATCTACGTCCTGTTAAAGGTATCACAAGAACACGAGGAAACACGAAGGTCTGGGAACTAAGTCATAGGAGACTTAACAGGAAGGAATACATCTGGCCCGGTGGTCTGGCAGTGGCCCGGTGGTCTGGCAGTGGCCCGGTGGTCTGGCAGTGGCCCGGTGGTCTGGCAGTGGCCCGGTGGTCTGGCAGTGGCCCGGTGGTCTGGCAGTGGCCCGGTGGTCTGTTGGCTAAAGCTCCCGCTTCACACACTGAGGGCCCGGGTTCGATTCCCGGCGGGTGGAAACATTTCGACACGATTCCTTACACCTGTTGTCCTGTTCACCTAGCAGCAAATAGGTACCTGGGTGTTAGTCGACTGGTGTGGGTCGCATCCTGGGGGACAAGATTAAGGACCCCAATGGAAATAAGTTAGACAGTCCTCGATGACGCACTGACTTTCTTGGGTTATCCTGGGTGGCTAACCCTCCGGGGTTAAAAATCCGAACGAAATCTCTTTTGGAAGTTGGGCTCGACTTTCTCTTAGCTTAGATTTTAAATACAATTTTTTTTTTCAGATTTCAAGTGTTTTTGATGAATATAAAACAAAAAAACAGAAGTTGACATAGAGATACCTTTCCAAGACTTAATATTAATTAAAGATATTTTGAATAAAAAAAAGGTTATATAAACTCAAAATTTAATAGAAATTTTATTGTTGATTTACTTTCAAAACGTCTCATTCAAATTTTGAAAATTTCCTTCATTAATAATGAAATTTCAGACTATAGATCTCAAATATAATTTGAAAGCAATGATCAAATTCTCTTAATGTAATCCTGAATTATCAACCTCCAAATACTAAGGAAAGCATAAACCTATAACCAGAAAAATATTTACATTGATGAAAATAAAAATTAATAATCAAGGTTCCATTTCAGTTTTATTCTAAAAGAGAAATATTAACATCAACAAATCTGTAAAACAAAATTATATATAAAAGTGACCCCTTAATATCGTACAAAATTATATATAAAAGTGACCCCTTAATATCGTACAAAATTATATATAAAAGTGACCCCTTAATATCGTACAAAATTATATATAAAAGTGACCCCTTAATATCGTACAAAATTATATATAAAAGTGACCCCTTAATATCGTACAAAATTATATATAAAAGTGACCCCTTAATAATATCCTACATTCACTTTCACAGAATATTTACTTAGAATTTCTGTTATATTATTGTATTAATAAGATACTCTGACTCGTATATATTACCTGGAGTTTACCTGGAGAGAGTTTCGGGGGTCAACGCCCCCGCGGCCCGGTCTGTGACCAGGCCTCCTGGTGGATCAGAGCCTGATCAACCAGGCTGTTGCTGCTGGCTGCACGCAAACCAACGTACGAGCCACAGCCCGGCTGATCAGGAACCGACTTTAGGTGCTTGTCCAGTGCCAGCTTGAAGACTGCCAGGGGTCTGTTGGTAATCCCCCTTATGTGTGCTGGGAGGCAGTTGAACAGTCTCGGGCCCCTGACACTTATTGTATGGTCTCTTAACGTGCTAGTGACACCCCTGCTTTTCATTGGGGGGATGTTGCATCGTCTGCCAAGTCTTTTGCTTTCGTAGTGAGTGATTTTCGTGTGCAAGTTCGGTACTAGTCCCTCTGGGATTTTCCAGGTGTATATAATCATGTATCTCTCCCTCCTGCGTTCCAGGGAATACAGGTTTAGAAACCTCAAGCGGTCCCAGTAATTGAGGTGTTTTATCTCCGTTATGCGCGCCGTGAAAGTTCTCTGTACATTTTCTAGGTCGGCAATTTCACCTGCCTTGAAAGGTGCTGTTAGAGTGCAGCAATATTCCAGCCTAGATAGAACAAGATACTCTGACTCGTATATATTAATAAGATACTCTGACTCGTATAGGTACTGTGGTATATTCTCCAGTAAGTAGAGTATTAAGTCCATAGTGTTCAAAAGTGTCTAAAGGGGTCAACGCCCCCGCGGCCCGGTCTGAGACCAGGCCTCGTTTATACTATGATAGCGGGTTATATGGACTGATCTAGTCTCACAACAGTTACATTTATTATTCATTTCTGATAATATTGCTATTTATCAAGCGTATGATAATTGATATTTAAAAAATATTTCTTTGCCTAATTTATCAGCCTTATTATGACTTAGATGGAGTTTATTACATCAGTAGAAGAGGAAACATCTGAGTACGTGATACAACAGCATCCTCGAGTGGCTTATAGCTCATGGTGTGACACAGCTCATGGTGTGACACAGCTCATGGTGTGACACAGCTCATGGTGTGACACAGCTCATGGTGTGACACAGCTCATGGTGTGACACAGCTCATGGTGTGACACAGCTCATGTGACAGCTCATGGTATGACACACTCATGGGGTGACACAGCTCATGGTGTGACACAGCTCATGGTGTGACACAGCTCATGGTGTGACACAGCTCATGGTGTGACACAGCTCATGATGTGACACAGCTCAGTGTGACAGCTCATGGTATGACACAGCTCATGGTGTGACACAGCTCATGGTGTGACACAGCTCATGGTGTGACACAGCTCATGGTGTGACACAGCTCATGGTGTGACAGCTCATGGTGTGACACAGCTCATGGTGTGACACAGCTCATGGTGTGACACAGCTCATGGTGTGACACAGCTCATGGTGTGACACAGCTCATGATGTGACACAGCTCAGTGTGACAGCCCATGGTATGACACAGCTCATGGTGTGACACAGCTCATGGTGTGACACAGCTCATGGTGTGACAGCTCATGGTGTGACACAGCTCATGGTGTGACAGCTCATGGTGTGAAAGCTCATGGTGTGACACAGCTCATGGTGTGACACAGCTCATGGTGTGACACAGCTCATAATGTGACACAGCTCATAGTGTGACACAGCTCATAGTGTGACACAGCTCATAGTGTGACACAGCTCATAGTGTGACACAGCTCAGTGTGACAGCTCATGGCGTGACAGCTCATGGTGTGACACAGCTCATGGTGTGACACAGCTCATGGTGTGACACAGCTCATGGTGTGACAGCTCATGGTGTGACACAGCTCATGGTTTGACAGCTCATGGTGTGACACAGCTCATGGTGTGACAGCTCATGGTGTGACAGCTCATGTGACACAGCTCATGGTGTGACACAGCCCATAGTGTGACAGTTGATGGTGTGACACAGCTCATGGTGTGACACAGGGCATGGTGTGACACAGCTCATGGTGTCACACAGCTCATGGTGTGACACAGCTCATGGTGTGACACAGCCCATGGTGTGCCACAGTTGGTGTGACACAGCTAATGGTGTGACACAGCTCATGGTGTGACAGCTCATGGTGTGACACAGCTCATGGTGTGACATCTCATGGTGTGACACAGCTCATGGTGTGACAGCTCAAGGTGTGACAATCAGGGTGTGACAAGCTCATGGTTGACACAGCTAAAGGTTACACAGCTCATGGTGTGACACTTTTTATTATTAAAATAAAGGGGGAAAAGCGCAAAACCCCGGGAGATGGTGTACAAGCCCATGGTGTGACAGCCCAGGGTTGCAGCCCAGGGTGTACACAGTTTGGTGTGACGCTCATGGTGTACACAGGGCATGGTGGGACACAGCTCATGGTTTGACACAGCTCATAGTTGACACACCCAGGTGTGCACAGTTTGGTGTACACAGCTCAGGGTGTGACACGGGGCATGGGAACCTCATGGTGCGGTATAGTTCAGGTGTGACCTCAGGTGAGACATTCTGCCAATTGGGTTGTCACTTTCTCTTTACCACACCATAATACTAATTTTTCCATCCATCACTCTCTAAACAACAATCCCCAACTCACAAATCGTCACATCCACCACCAGTGCATTCTTGCTAATCTCTACAGGACCACCAGTCACCACATAACAGTTAATCACAACCACTATCATCACAGAACCATCTACAACACCGCAACCGTTCTTATCACAGAACCATCCACTACCTCTTCTCTCAGACTATCTTCACCATCCTCTGCAGCTCGGGCCCAAGAAAGAGTTTCTGGTGCGTGACTCTACACGAAGTGCAGCACTGCGACAGGTATTGTTTCAACAACTGGAGCAGAGTATTTATGAAGCTCAAGGGAGTTTGGCAGTATTGTATGATCACTTGCACGTACCACACCATCCTGATATCCCCAAAAAACACTGTGGAGAAAAATTTTGTAGTCATTTGTTCACAATTTTCCAAGTTGTTTCGATGCTTGGGGATATATCGCCACACTGTGGGAATACGATGAACCCTAGAAATACTGATAAAACCCATAAATACTGGTTAAAACCCAGGGAAAATTGACTAAAGTTGCTGTTTTTGTTAAGATATGATTTTTTTTTTTCAATTTTAGTATCATTTGGAAATTATGTATTCAAAGAATCAGCAAAAAACCTTAATTTTATGGGAGGAGGGGGGGGGGGGCCGACAGTGCCAACATTCAAATATCTATGGTACATAAAATCCCCCCAAACCCCACTTGGAATCTTTTAAATTTTACTAGGGCCCCCACTCTTTCGGGGTTTTTTCTAGGGCACTTCACAAACTTTACAAAATTATGCCACGTTAAAAATTGGGCAACTTTCCCTTTTACGTGCAAAAACCTTTACTCACGTTTTCAACATCGGACTTTTTTTGTAGACGTTCGCCATCCATGGCTTTATCAATAAGTTCAGACATAATTTGAAGACAGTAGAATTATATACAAAAGATGAGATAATCAATCCCTCAGCCTTGGAGTTGGTGTGAAGAACACCGTAGTCGTGAATCTTCACATGATCCCGTCGTCTATCCCTCACATGATCCCGTTGGCTTCTTCTTGAGAGCTCTTCGCACCTCCAGGTCTTTCCTTGAAGAAGAATGTATCTGCATAACACAGGCCTTCACACGTTTTCAGTTTCCATCTTTCTTTATCGTGATTGCAGACTCAAGGCACAAACTATCCTCAACAAATCCCCCATTGGACAGTCCTCTAAGCAGTTCGTAGTGCTCCCGTGTGGCGCACTATGAACTGCTTAGAGGACTGGCGTCAGGTGATAAGGGACGTGTAGCAGGCGAAGACATTGTCACTGGTAGGCGGGATTTTCCAGTGGAAGTAAGTCATACCTGAGGGACGGGTCAGTAGTAGTGAAGAAGGTTGTGGAGATGTCCTCTGAAACAAGATTCCATGATGTTGCAATGTGATGTAGTCCACTATGCTCGTGAGGTCTCTGAGGGGAGACCTAATTTAACCGATTAAATGGGCACACCTTGCCTTGGCAAACGGCTGTTAGACACACCTCTTGGCTTAAGTCTCAGGTCTTTTGTTCCTGACGGCGTCAGATCCCGGCGTCAGGTCAAAACACGTAGTGCACACCCCATTGTGGGGGGTGCTTTGAGGATCATATAAGCCCAAGGAACAGCTGAGCAGGGGATTCAAGTGGAGCTACTGCTGGTGTAGAGAGCTCGGGAGAGGGCTGCTGGAGAGTCTCTGGAGGAGACTGTTGGAGACACTGGGCAGAGTACTGGCGTGGAGCAGTACTTAGCAGTGTAGGTCTTGGGACCTATGGCTAGTGCGTGACTGAGTTTCTGTGGTGAACTGTCCGCTGAACTATATTGTAAGTTATATTCTGTTTTGTCCATTGATTGTATTCCTTGTCTCACTGCTTATATGTACCATCCTCATTTATCTAAAACCAATAGTGCTCTCCTGTTCCGAAATATATTATTGTACAAAGACTTAATAATAAACTGTGTTTGAGTGGAATAGTAATATTCACTGTCCCTGTTATTTATTCTTTTATTCTTTGTTATTTCAAGTACTGAGAGGGTGAGTAGTGTGGTAGAGATAATGAGAGGTGATTGTGTAGTCACCAGCGACCTCACATTGCCTCCGCTAATCACTAGACTCACCTCTCCTTCCCATCCCCTGCCTACTCCCCCCGATTACTCCCATATTCCCCAATTATCGTACATTTCATTACCCCTCTACATGACAGCAGCTCCTGATAAGTTGTACATCAATGGTATACATTACCGACGTACTTCCACTGGAAAATCCCAACTACCAGTGACAATGTCTTCGTCTGCAACACGTCCCGTACTACCTGATGCCGGTATATAAGAGCCAGCTTTCTTACCTAACCTTGCCTGTGCTCCAGACTCACCACTACGATGGTCTTCACCAACTCCAATGCTGAGGGACTGATTACCTCACCTTTTGTATATAGTTCTATCTTCCTATTATGTCCTTGAATTTGTATTGATAAAACCACTGGATGGCGAAACGTCTACAATGAAGATACCCAAATGTTGCACATGTGTCTAATTTTCATATTGTAGGTAATATAAATCAATCATGTACGTCCACCACATCCACACAGATTTTAGAATTTGCCACAGAAGAGGCTGGTTCATAGCGCGCCGCACCGTCGATGACTGCGCAAGAGCACGTTGTGAAAAAAGTAACGGCATAGTATATCTGCTTAAAAATACTTACAATAAAGACTATGGAAGCGAAGACGATACCCCAGAAGAAGGCGATAACAGGACCGAGCAGCAGAGCCAACAGGTTGTATACCAGCCCCTTTGTGAACCTGGAAGTTAATATCTTCATTATGCACCCCATACCCATCCTGTGGGAGGTAGTCAAAGGATTACAGAGGTACATAATGAGTCCAGGGACTGAGCCCCAAAGTTTTTGATAGCTGAACAAGACACAAAGGTAATGAACTATTTACATTAATTAGATCACACACACACACACACACACACACACACACACACACACACACACAGCTGATGATGTATCTAGCGTATGTATATCTTATCAGGTGACCTTGATGATGATGGGCAGGGTGACGTGCCCAGGCGACCCTGTGCCAGGTGTATCCTTCACGTAGGAGACACTGGAGGCGGGTTCAGGGGAGGTGTGAGGTGCGCGGCGCGCGAGCGAAAAAAAAAATCGAAAATTATGGAAATTGAGTTAATCATATAGAAAAATAGCTTAACTCTTTAGCAACACTCTGGTACAAGAATCAGTATTCTACGACGTTTCTACAAGGAATTATAGTCATTATATCAGGTATGGTGACACCAATGTACGTAGCGCGTCTGCTCTCAACCTATATATTTTTTGGAATTTTTTCCTTGTTTATTCTCGCTATTTCTTGCATTATTCTTTCTAATATAATAATTAACGATTTGGCATCATAAAAGAGTAGGCGGAGCTTATACGTAGACTTTCAGCCAATCAGGAACCATCTAGGAACACTGGCGGTATTCCCGCTCTGGAGAGACGCAGGAGAAATCACTTCATTATTACGCTTATATCAACTCTACGGCTTATTTTCTATCAGAATTGATCTAATATTATATAATAAACACTATAAATAACATATAAACATGTTATATACTCTAGACTGGATAAAATAGGCCATAATATGGCGAGAGTTCACCAGCAATATTCGATATAAATCATTTCTCCTGGCCATGTCGTATTCTTTGGCCTTGAGTAAGAGAAAACAGCATTTTGAAGAGGATAACTGCACTAGAACACTAGTTTTATAAGGAAAACACCGAAACAAACGCGATTTTCGAGGAAAAAAAAAATTTCCAGACGGGGGAGGGGCCGGCCCGCGTTCCAGGCCAATATCTCGGAAGTAATTCATTGACTTATTTCACTTAACTACGCCTTTACTACTTAATTTAGTGGAATAATATTCAGAGAAATTGTAAAATAATGACTGTTCTTATTTTCAGTGATGCACTTTTGGAAATATTCCAGATATTTTTGTATTTATGTGGGAGTAAAGGTCAGATATTTTGCAAAAGTCTAAGAACTAACAAACTTTAATTTTTTTGTGGAATAAAGATAAGATATTTAGATGAAAGTGCAACACCAAAAAATTCGTATTAGCATTGTTCTCTGGGCACCAAGTGCCCAAACCACCTTACATCGTGCCATATAGGACTAACCTCCTGCCAAATGGCATTTTCAGTAAATCGTTCTTCTTTCAGTTATTGTTTGGGATATCTTACTGACAAATATTTACAGTAAATAGAGAAAA